ATACCAACAGAGAAGTGTTCCGTAGAATGTCTTCGGGGAACCAAGACGGCGACCTGGAACATTCTAGGAACTGTCGAAATGCATTATTAAAGTGAAAAACAAAAAACATTTGTTGAGCTATCGACGTTTGGCATCTTGGCTGAGCTTTGCAGACGTACTTCTTAAGGACGGAATCTGTTTTGTATCACTTGTAGACATTCAGGGTAAGCAGTTATTTATGAATATTTTTTTTTCTGAAAGACGACAAGTTAAAATTAGCCTGAGATTCTATTGAAGATATTCAAGACAAAGACAAAAAGCATATGAATAAGAGACGAATAATAAAGAATTGCTTGGACGGGACATGCTACTGAAGCTGTCTGAAGAGAAAATAAACAGTACACCTGGAGACACAACCCTTCCTGGTATTGCATGTGTAGCGCCTTAAAACCACATCACCACCACAGCACAATGGTATCCCGAAAGCAAGAGTTGTTGCAAGTTGACGTACACTCAGCTGGCTTGTATTTGGTCGGCTTCGTTTTTCTTCTCGTTTGTAATGTCTATTTTGCGATGATTCTATTTACTCTCGTAAGGTTATCATGTCCTCCTCCAGATGACGCTTTAGGCTGTGCGTAATCTGGTCATCAATAAAGCTATTCTGGGACGCCTGAAGACGGCAATACCTGGTGCTTGTCACGGATGTCGCAGGCCCCTTTTTAATCTCAACTTGTGTTTGGGCTCTACTTATTCTTTATTTATTTTCAAAAACAAAATGAGTTCTCCTCTTTTCGTGTCTTTTAATTATACACTTATTTTCGTCTGGAATGTAAGTTTCACAACAGCCGCTTCACAACATAAGCACTTTATTTGATTTAACAAGTGCGATCTCTCTCTCTCTCTCTCTCTCTCTCTCTCTCTCTCTCTCTCTCTCTCTCTCTCTCTCTCTCTCTCTAACAACAAACAGTTACACCGCGAAAACACTTCGAAAACAACGCACAATCCCGACAGGAAGAAACCACCAAGGACGATGACTTTGCCGGGTGAATCTGTTCTCTTGTTCTTGTGTTGCTCTGTTCCCCTGCAGAAGTTCCTCCGCGTAGCCCACCTGAGCCCCGGAGGCAAGCTTCCATGCGGCTGGTCACATCGCCATCCGTCCGTGCGAACTCACACCAACTGCACGATGTTGGGCGCTTGCATGCTCTTGATGATGTCGTACTGGCTCTTGACGCACCTGTGCATGTACACCTGCAATGGAAGGGATACGCGACCTTGAGCATCGCTACCAGGAAACGGGTTGTCCGTCTTTTTTCTAAGTTTGGTGAAACGGTGGGCCATGAGGGTGATGCGCGGGGCTAAATATCTAAGAATCTGAGGCACGTCCGTCTCACCTCATCTCTTGTTTCACCTTCTCAAAAGAACAATAAAACTCTAAGATGGCGTAGTAAACAACCTTTTTGCATATCACTGTAATAACATAGCGTGAAAGTTAAGCAAAGAAAAATAAGCCCTTGTGAAACTAAATCGTGAACCTTAAAAAAATAAGCAGAAGAAACGGTGAGTATAAACTACACCGCATTTAGTTACATATTTTTTTTTGTTGTAGTATGAAGCAAGTTGTGAAATAATCGGGACATGAACTCTCTTTCCAGCTCAGTCGAATGTGTCATCAGATTGCTAAAACTAGATCTATGGATTATCACCGTCATCGTTTTCTGATGACTAATGGTTGATGGTTATAATTGTCTGCATTTGATTATTGTAAGTGGGATATTGGAGAGACGGTATGATAGATAATAGTCCATTTTGCTATAAATACATTAAACTTTTGTTAGATACTACGAATCCATCCATGAGAAATTTTATTTATATGAAATACATTACTGTAAACTAACGGGCAACTTATCGATTAATATGACTGGGACACTACAACACTACTTACATGAGCAGCTGCGAAGAGCAAGTATATCAGCGTCCACAAGACCGATATCAGCTGTGGAGTAAGTATATGTTAATATTGGTAACCGTGAAAAAATCTTTCTGGAAAATAAGATCATCATATTCATCTCAGATCATCATCCAATCTTACAACCTTACCAGCGTTCATCAAGATAACTATTCGAGACTTTCACCAATTTTCTCATTTCCTTCTGTTTAATGGTAATTCTTTCTAAAAGATTATACTTCATCGCCCAAAAATATGCAAAACACATGAACTCCCCTCCCCCTACCCCCAACCCCCCCACCCCACCCACTGCCACTCAAACAGCAAAACCGAAACAGAAGACGATCAACTCACGTAATGATAGTAGGACGACTGGAGCCACAGCGCGAAAGCAATTATCATGAGGATGTAGATGAGGTTCTGGGTGAGCCACGGCAGAATCATGCCTCGGTGATCCTTCACGACTCCGCGGATCATGAGGATGGAGAAGCTGATGTACAGTAGGTAGAAGAAGATCATGAAGCCGCCCGCCGACTTCATGGCTGCAACGGAGAGGAAGCCTGAGTGTATTCTAGT